CTCAGTTTCCTCTTCTCCAGGCTGAACACACCAAGTGACTCAGCCACTCCTCAGACGGCTTCCCCTCAGGGCCCTTCACCATCTTCGTTGTTCTCCTTTGGACACTCTCTAAAGGCTTAACATCTTTCTTATATTGTAGTGCCCAAAACTGCCACAATATTCAAGGTGAGGTCACACCAGTGCAGAGCAGAGCAGGACAATCACCTCCCTCGACGGGCTGGTGATGCTGTGCCTGATGCCCCCCAGGACACAGTTGGCCCACCTGGCCGCCAGGGCACTGCTGACTCATATTCAACTGGCCATTGACCAGGACCCCCAGGACCCTTTCCTTGGCACTGCTTTTCAGTAGCTCATCCCCCAGTCTGTATGTCCATCCAGGGTTGCCCTATCCCAGGTGCAGAGTCTGCCACTTTCCCTTGTTGAACTTCCTATGGTTGGTGATTACCTGGTCCTCTCATTTGTTGAGGTCTCTCTGCAGGGCCTCCTCACCTTGGAGGGAGTCAACAGCTCTGCCAAGTTTTGTGTCATCTGCAAACTTACTTGGTGTCCCCTCCAAGTAATTTATAAAGATGTTGAAGAGTACAGGGCCCAAGATGGAGCTCTGTGGAATCCGATTAGTGACAGGTCACCAGTCTGATGTTACCTTTCATGACAATACTCCTTTTCATAATAAAACATCAGATGACAGCATGTAACTCAGCTCACACACAAAATATATCTTCTCTCACCCACTAGAAATTACAAACTCTTAAACTCTTCTCAGTGGTGCCAAGCAACAGGACAAGAGGCAACAGGGAAAAACTCATGCACAGGAAGTTCCACCCGAATATGAGAAAGAACTTCTTACTGTGTGGGTGACCACCCACTGGAACAGATTGCTCAGAGAAGTCATGGAGTCTCCCTCACTAGAGATATTCAAGAAGCACCTGGACACAATCCAGTGCACACGGTCCTCTAGGAGGACCCTGCTTGAGCAGGGAGGCAAGACCAAATGACTCGCTGTGGTCCCTTCCAACCTTATCCATTCTGTGATTCTGTGTGATTCTGTTATGAGAAGTACACTAATTCATGCAGTAAAACACTGGATGGAAAGGACAACGGTAGAGTAAGTTTCCACCTGGAGACACCTGGTTTAGTATTTCTCAAAAAGACTCTCCTCTCTGGCAAAAGATAAGAATTCCAATCAGAAGAACATCAGCTTCTTCTTTCCTAAAATGACAGAAGAAGGAATAGCCTCTATCCTCTCTCTGTACCACTGGTGTCATTCTGGCAAATCTTTTGATGTGACCTTGTAACTCTTTTACTTGAAAAGCCCTATGAAAATATGAATACTACTGGAACACATGAAGTCTTCTTGATGAATTAACAGCTGGATTTCTAATACTGATGTTGCCAATTCTGCCCACATTTTTGGTTACATCACCACTTTTCAATGCATTTTCACTGCGAGGTTTTCAAACCAATCAAGCGGTTTATGGAACAATTTCACCAACAGTTGAAAGGTCTTTGATTTTGCCCAGTTCACGGTATGATTACCAATATATTTAGAATACATATATTACAGAATATATTGAATTAAAATGAATATCAAAATGCACAAATTTGGTCTATCCCCTCTGCTATGTTCATTAACATTGAAATCTGAAGCAAAGCAGTGCATAACAGAAAACTAATATTTATTTATTTTATCCATTAAGACTGTCCATTCAATATACCATTACCTGATCTGAGGTGTTCTCTTGTAACTGGGACACACCTGAAAATATCTGGAGGACAGAATATCCAAAGATTGCTCTAGTATATCTGTAAGAATCTCCTGGGCTGTCTTTGGAGGTAGAATAGTCCATAGATCATGATGAGTAGCACAGCAGAAGTAATGCCACATCTGGACAGAGAATGAGCATCTTTCCCCCTAGCAAAATCACCACACATTAAATAATAAAAACACACCTTCAAAAATGTCAGTGTAATTCCTGTAAGTCTAATTTAATCCATCTGAGGGGAAATAGCTGAAGATCTTCAGGAATATGATGACCAACAAATGGTCCTTGACAAGATGTGAAACATCTTCATTTGCAAGGCAACACATGCTGCATTTCAGTCACCAAATTACAGGTCTGCCACAAGACCAAACCACATCATTTGACCTCTTATATCCTCAGTTAACCTATTCTGCAGACCCATACTGTTGTAAGTTTAATTTTAAAACATATACAGTATACTCACTACAATAGTCAGACAAATTTAATGTAACAGTTTGTCTGCAAAGAAAATAATTATTTAAATTACTTTAGCATATGTATTTATCCAGATTCATAAGTGCTATGCATAACGATGATTATGAAACTCTGGTTATGTATAATAGATATGCAATAAGAGCAGAAAAAAAGAAAACCTGAAATATTAAACTGACAATAAGAGATGTCCAGAATTTTTTTAGTAAGTTATTTTTTTATCTTATAAGGTTTATTCACTGAAACCAAACATTTTCTGGGAAGGAATCAGCACTGCCATTAATATTTCATTGTCTATACAGAACTACTCCATTAAGATATAGAAATAAATACAGAGGAGTCAAAATTTAACAGCAGTTAATTCACAAAATCTCTAAAAAGTAGATAGCATAACTTACATTTAAATATTTCAACTTATACCTAGTCAGAAAATAGCATTATGATGAAACTGTATGAGAATAGAGACTGCAATCTCCACTTCCCATCTTCCAAAGGAACAGAGAAATATTTTTAGCATTTGTTGATATTTTAGCATTATCAGAAATATAAAAAAACCTCACAATTTTCAAAACACTTTCAGAGTTTATTAGGCGTTCTTTAACAATAAAAGTACCAAATTTATGACCACCACTCTGGTCATTAAGATTATGAGTGGTGTAAGCATCTCTGAAATTTAATTTAAGAAAAAAAAAAAAAAAAAAGAAGAAACCCAAATCATTAGGGCATCCAATTTTTAGGTTTCACTAATGCCAAAGAGAAAAATGACGTACACCTGAGTTACAAAAGAAAATCATATGACTACTTTTCTTTCTACATACAAGCATAAACACCTTATTTCAGTAGGAAAACAAACAAAAAAACTCACTAGTATTTTGAATAACCAAGCACTTGACAGGTCTTTCCATACTTACAAAACAGGATTGTCTTACATTGACCAAGAGTTTATGTAATAAAATAATGGACATATTAAAATAATTTTCATTATTTTCTTATATGAAATACAATTACAATATTATTGCACAACACATGGAAATATTATAAGAAAGTACAAATTTACTTCATAACACAACTCACAGCTTCATAAGTTTGTATAATTTCAATAATACATTTCTAGATGCCTTGACTTTTAGATATATTATTGTGGTTACTCTTAAGGTACATTTAAGCAGAACCTATGCAGAAATAAGTCTGTAACCCTACCTTACATTTTACTGAGATTTCCCTATCTTTGAAAAAACATTTCAAGTGTTACAGAATAAACTTAACAGTTAAAAAATAATTAGTTTGAATGCCAGATGGAAGCAAAATTATTTTGGTCCTATCTTTAACTTCAAAAACAAATTAAAAAATTTTCCAAACCCATGCAGATTTGACAACCAAATATATAATTCTAAATTCACTTTTTGATACAGGACATTTATTTTTTTAAGTAACTGAATGTTGGGAAGTTTTACTTTTTAACTATGTAACTATAAACACAAATTATTTCACTTTCTCTACTCTAATTTAATACTCTTTCCCTGCTTTCTTAGCATTGTACCTCCACTGCAGAAGCAAGAGTTTCACTGAAGATTTAAATGAGATGCATTCCCCTTTTCTGGCCTGTTTTTCTATTTGCTGTCATTTCTAGACAATTCTACTGATAAACATCTGCTATTTTTGCAAGCTCCATATAATACAAACAGATGTAACCTTTTATTTAGCTTATATATCAGGAAACAACCAGCTGTGCTTTATTATATAAGCCACTCAATATTATCTCTGAACAGACAATTCTTTATTTTTTGACTATTAGAAAACAGAAGTTCCCACAGCTACAGCAGATGTCTGCTACATTAACTTCTAGAGTTTCAACAGGATGTTGCCTCTGTAACAAGCAATAGGTCTTAATCCAGTCTCTTTCATTTTTGATGCCTACAAGAGGCCAATGGAAGTAACATCTGCTCAGCATCGTGGCTCACAAAGGCACTCCCAGCAGATCATGATCTACCTTGGGCCATCTCCATGACCCAATAAAAAGAACAGTGATGATGTAAAATTACGTATTTCCCACCTCAAGTCCTGCAAACCTTAAGAGCTGAGACAATGGCTTTCCTCATCCCTTCCTACACACATCAGCTCAGCTCAGTAAAAAAAAAAAAAGCAGATAAAACAGATAAAACTGTTTAGCTACTCCATATTCTTTCACCTTCATTCTCACAATTAGGTTTCCTCCATGGTGAAGCTACTGGGTCACTAGCAAAGATTTTCAAATGTTACATTTTCTATAAGAAGGGTAAAGTTCTTAGAGATCTAGATCTCTAAGTTCTATATACATGTTTTATCACACAATATTTTGTGAAGCAAATGACACAAACACTTCATGCTAAAAATATACCTCACTTTTAAATAATTATGTTTTTCTATGTCATTTCTAGAGAGACATTTGCCTGCAATAATAGATATTTCAAAAAAGTAAATTCCAACAACTGTTATTTAAAAAGAATGCTGATCATATGCTTCTAATTAGTCAGAGAGTTGGCAATCAGTAAAACACATTTTGAAAAGGGAGGCATAGTAAACTTAACCTCACACCTCATAAAAAGCTTTGGAGTCATCCCAGTGGTGGCTCTCAGCATCCTGTAATATGCTTGTAGCACAAACTCTGATGCAGTAGTTGGTAACTTGAAGCTGGAGAACACTGATGAATTCCTGGTACTGTTGGACAAGCACTAGGAACAGGGGGCTGTTCAGAGAGAATGATGAGAGAGACAGTGATTGAAAGGCTGTGCAGTAGGAGGTAACAATCCCCAGTACTCCAAATAGTCTTGATTAGTAGATATCAATCATTCATTTCCTCTTGGTTCTGAAGTCTGAACCTAGCACTCACTTTTGAAACCCTTTGTTTCAAAAGTTCTTTAAATATGTCTCCTTGTCTATAAATTCTCATCTACCTAAGTCACTAAGAAATAAATTACTTAATCCTATTTTCTGAGCAAAAGTACATTTGTCATTCCTTTTTTTTAAGATTCTGTGTTGCAGCATACTTGCATCAGCAGTTATTACATCAGTACTGAGTGCGATAAAGAAAACAAGCACAGAGTACAGATTCCTTTTGGTAGGTATGTACTGCAACTCTGACAATACACCTGAATAGAATTACTAAGCAGTATGTTGGCTCAGACTTCCCATTCACAAAGATATACTTCATGCAGAAGAGAGTAATGCTACATTAGAGGGAAAGTAGCTCAACAGCACATAAAACCACTCAGAAATCATACACTCCTTGAAAATTGTGTTAATTCAGCATCCCTTCCAAAAGCTACAGTTTCTACTTTTCAATTACATATGGTCAGAAAGATATGGATCAGTGAAGAAATTCCTAGTATCTTAAGTCAAAATATCTCAAAAGCACAGCAAATAAAATTATACTGGCCCCCCAGGCTAAACACTGCCTTTGACTTTACACTCCTACTTCATATTTCCCCTAATTTTTATTCTGCACGAAAAAAAAAAGTCTAAAACTACATTGGATATATTTGTTTACATGTCTGAATACAGATGGAGTAAGGAAAACACACAGAAATGTATTTGTATGTTATCCTTTAATATTTGCTAAGAGCTAAATTAGATTTTATGAAAATTCAGCTATTACAAAGGTGAGAAAAAGAAATTAGGGCCTTAGTCCTTCATTTAAATGACAGCAGAGTACATTCAGTTTGCTGGACAATCCTATTTTCTCAAGCTTAATAAATAATAAATATTGATCTGCAAATAGAATGTATATCTTGAACATAATTAATTTGTTTTGTAAAGGGGGCTTTAGACTATCAATAATTTTGATTCAGGTCATTCCACAAATGAATGTACAGTGTACATGCACTGAACGTGCTCAAAATATAATGCAATTTGGAAAACTACCACCATACTGTATCACCAAAATGGAACTAAGTCACATATTTTGAATTAAATATTATAAAGAACCTACTTTTTGCTTGTTTCTCTCATTAAATTGCTATACATTGTAAAATGCTGAAAGACATATATTGCTGTGGAAAGGGCAGCACACAAGTCTTGCAGGGGAGCCTTGGAGGGAACGTCTTTGGTCTTCTCCTCCAGTCTTGCCAGTATAGCTGTTGCCACTTTGCTGCAGGCCTCTACAAAGTTTGCTCTAATTTCAAGAAGAGAATCATCTCTGCATGCCAGAGCCAATGGAAGCAATGTGTCCAGTTCTTCCATGATGTCAAAACAAAACTGAGAAAATAAACAAACAGGGCATCAAATTATTTGTATTTTGACAGCACCACTTAATTTATATACATTAGAGTCAGATTCTTGAATAATAAAATTGGCACAAAACATAAATATATTGAATCAGCTTTACAAATATTTCAATCTATTAAACGGGAGAAACATCTATCTACAGAAAAATAATTATTCTCTCATTCCTTCTTGCTAAAGCTGCACAGTGTATATTGGGGGAAAGAACTAAAACCATTTTATGCTAGTAATGCCTTCATTTTGGTTTTCATTTCATTAAATGTACATTCAAAGCAAAGCTAATTCCTTGTAAAGAAAGATGACTTCCTAAAATAATTTATTTTGAAAAATATACAAACGTCTTAACACTGAATTTGGAAACAAACTTGTCATCTCTTAATAAATTCATACACTGGACAACCTAAAATTATCTCCCACAAGCTTATATCTTATTTTAAACAAACATTCATTAACAGCATTCCAAATTTGCTAGAATAGTTGCAAAGCTTACTTAAAAAAAATTTTTTTAAATATATATTCCCTGAGAAAAACAATTTAATTAATAAGTGACCTTTCAGCCAAATCAAAGAACTCTAAATTGGCCATATTACAGGTTATGATTAGTCGAATGGCATGTCTAATGATATGAATACAAGAAATCCCTTTATAGCCATATTTCAAAGCTTTCCACATTTTCCCATTGAAACACTTGGTAACAGAACAGAATGTTAGAATGAATGTTAGAATAAATCAGAAAGTTTTAGAACTTTTTGGCTGAAAGAAATAATGCCAGTGAAGTTTAAAAGTCAATTCTTTCAAGTACATACTACGGGCTATTGTATAAAGCTCTCTTCAGCTTCACATTGTAACGCCTCTCACTTTCTTTTTAATTCCATTTATATCAGATATAGAATATTAATACTACTGTAAGTACTTCAAAGTGTAGATGGCAAACAGCCTTGGCATTCTGTCTCCCCTCCAACTTCAGATCTTTTGATACCTGCCTTAGCAATTCGTTTTGGTTGCTCCTCCTGTTGGACTGCTCTGCAGGACTCCCTCATTTGCTGGTTGTTTACAAGACTCATTGCACAGCCTGAAGCTGAAAACTCTTCTTTCTGCTCATGTTGAAGAATTTTAGATGAAAAATCCTCGATTGCTATTGTTACACAGTGAGCCACAGAAGAAGACAGGTCTTTAAATGCATTTCTCCAGCCAAAATTCAGTAAAATAGGCTGAAATACATATTAGTACTAAATCAATCCAAAGTCATTATTGAGTGTTATTGTCTGAAAACTAAATTCACATCCATAATTAAATCAGATGACACCAAGAACTTAAAATATAGTCTGCTGACCTTGAAATTGTGTTAAAAGCAGTATTTACACTTAAGAAAAATTAACATGCATAACAATATTAAATTTGTCATCAAATTTCAAAGAAAAAATTAATCCTGTTCAAACAACACAGCTTTTAAAAAACATGGTTCATCTTTACTTGATTTATAACCTTTAACAGAATCTATTTAACAAAGTCAAAAGAATTTACAACCATTTTCAATAATATAACAAGTAATCTAGCAAAGTATACCTTGTAATAATTCTCACTGCAAGATAGCAACTGGTAGTTACTAACCGTGAATCTTAATGGAAAACTCTTTGGAGAAGTTGGTTTTAACACAGCCATACTGTATTTCTCTTCTCTAGAGCTGGATTTCGCAAAGCATAAAATATTTAAGTAGAGATTTGTAGTTTTTAGCCAATGCTGACTTTTATTATGGCTTACATAAGTTCCCTGCTTTCTTTAAACAGAAACTTCTGAAGTCACCTGAAGCGTAACAGTTACCAAAATCAGACACAGCAGGACATCATCACTTTTCGACTCAGATCTGAGTTTGCATTGCTCTTATGACATACATCAGACTTAAACTTTAACAGAAGTGGCCAACTGGGAATTGCACCACTGTAAGAGACATATTTTAATTACATAAGGTGATGTTCAGTAAATACTGGATCTCCACCATGAGGGCATAATGGGACGAGAGAAAAGAAGGATTCCCAATGAGCTGCAGATATAATACTAAACCAAAAGACAGTGAAGGGCTACAAAGTGAAAGCCTTCCACCTTACTTCAGTGGAAAAGTTGTGTTCCTTCCTTTCCCTTTTTCCACTTCAAGCATTCAATTCTAGTCAGCACAGCAACAGCCCCCATGGACACACAGTTTTGAACTCCCCCTTTTTGGGTGAAGAAGGGGAGGGGTGGAAATTGTTGCACCCTGGTCCAGAAGCTCCACGCTTTTACCAGCTGTCCACTTCAATTTTAGACTTCAAGAGATTTAGCCCACATAAACCCTTGCAAAGTCTTTTATTCTTTGATACTTTGAGTTTACATCCAAAGAAAAACTACACATTTTTCTCTAAGAGATTTCCTTTTTTGGTGAGAAAATAGGTGTTTTGGCAAAAAGGGTTTTTCAGAAATAACATGCAACTTCCCAAAAGCATTACAACAGATTACTGAGACTAGAAAGCATTGCTATAGTAAGGGAGCCTGTGTTACAGCCAGCAAACGCAAGCTCCATACAACTTAAACGAAATACCCACAAATTAAGTGAAACACAGAAAAAAGTTGTTTAAGTTGCCCTCAAGAGGAAAGGGTGAGATATTAACAGAAGAAAGAATAAGAGAGGAGAGGGACATATTTACCACTCTGGAGGTCACATGTTGATGGGTCAGGAGGGCAGAGGCCAAGGCAAGATGGAGACCACGTGTGTGTCTGTTTATAGACTCTGGCTATTGTGGCCACTCCCTCTAGGTGGGACCTTTGGCTCACTGCCACTCACTGTCCCCCTAGCCAAAGTGAGGGGTGCCACACTACTTAGAGGCTCCAGGGCCATGGTGTGATTGGCAGCTCAGCCAAATCGCCTTCCCTGCCATGTGCTCTGCATGGGCACAGCAGTGTTGGCTGCAGGCCTAGGCTTAGCCCTTCCCTCACCTTCACAACAGACAACATGCTTTATTTGACCCATCAATCCAAGAATCCAGTGAGATACGAATCCGGCCTCTTACAGGGATCAATCTACCCAAAATATTCTTCTTTGTAATCTGTAAGAACATTAGTCTTGCAAACTGATTCAAAGCACATTTAGAAAGTTTTCCACCATTAAAATTGAACCATTAAAAAATTAAATTCCACTATCACAAAGTATCAGACTTGTTAGAGCATTTAGGTCCCATAAAATCAACAACACAAATGTGTTTAGTAGTAAATTGGAGCCAGACAAAAACCTAATCTTGTACGTACATTCTACAAAACATCGTGCTTACTACGCAGTAGTTTGTTGGCATCAAAGAAACTACATATTGTGTGAGTACCTATCCCTATAACAGGAATTATTATTATCAAATTCTAAGAATTTCATAGTTTTTTAAAGATTCTGATGTATTTGATAATATATATAATACTAAGAGAGTTATCATATTTTAGCAATTTTTTGAGTTTATGTTAAATTAATTCTGTTATTAAAAATTAAATAGCAACCACTTCTTCATGAATGCCAGAAGATTTTATTCCATCTTAACTGAGACTTTGCACCTAAAATAAATCAAAGCAGCCAAAGTAATGAAACTATGGCAATATGTGTTTATAATGAACATGATGACAGACTACACTGGAGACACACACAAAAGAAAATCCCATAAAAAGTGTAAGACTCTTTTCATACTCACCTCTTCTACCTGAAGTAACTGTTCAGGAAGCACGCTGGTTTCATTTGCTCTAGTTTCTCCTATTAAAAGCTCCCCACTAGCTCTCTTCAGAACTCCTGCACAGTATGGTAAAAGAGATCAAAGTTAAGATTAATTCTGTAGAAAAGTCAGCAGCCTACAACACCTTCTGATATATCAATACGAAGCATAAAAAAACCCTCAACAAGATGTAGGGGAATACTAATGATATGATAAAGTCAAATTCAAGTAATACACAGTTCCTTTCATATATATGAAATCTACATCCCATTGTAATCGTATTTTATACAAACACACACATAATGTATAAAATATGGTTTCTTTTGTCATTAATTCATTTTTATACTGATTGTGCAGTCACCTATTCTTAGGGAGAACAGATAACATTAGGTCAACTGTACAGACATTAATTTCTATTCTTTGTTCAATAAATTATATGAATTGAACACTACTGTATTTTTACAGTTTTTACTATTTGGAAATGCCAATATCATAAGAATAAAAAGGTAGTTAATCAGTACAGTTATTATAAGCAAAATAATGGCAACAGGAACAAGTGAAGCTGCTTAAGAAGGGCTGGTACAAAGCTTGCTCATAAACCTTGGAGTAATGGAAATATTGCCCCAGTTTTTAAAAGGACAAACCAGTGTCTGGGGTAGATACCACTTTCACCAGTTTTTGCAAGTAATCCAGGTTCCTGAAGTGCATTGATAATAACTTTTTCTTCCAAGTGATAAAGTACAAATGGAGGGGCTTGCTGAGGATGTGAAAGGCAAAGGCAGCCTGGGCTGCAGGGACTATGAGGTAGCGGAGTTCCGGATCCTGAGGGCAGGGATGAGAGTAAAAAGCAAGCTCACAACCCTGGCCTTCAGAAGAGGAGACTCTGGCCTCTGTTTGGAAGAGTCCCATGGGATTAGGCCCTAGGTAATGGGACACAAGAAGGCTAGTTAATATTTAAGGATCACCTCTGCCAAGCTCAAAAGAGTTTAAAAAAAAATGCTAGGAGGCCTGTATGGATTAACATGAAGATCCTAGCCAAACTCAAACACAAAATGAAGCATACAGAGGCTGGAAATAAGGATGGGTAAACTGGGAGGGACACAGAAACAGTATCTGAGCATGGACAGTCAGGGAAGCTAAAGCCCAAATGGAACTAAATTTGGCCAAGGATGTCAAAGGCAAGAAAGGCTTCTATTAAGCACACAGGTGACAAATGGAAGACTAGGGAAAACGTTAGCCCATTGCTCAATGAGATGGGGGACCTGATTACACAGACATGGAAAAGGCTGAGGTACTGAATGTCGTCTTTGACTCAGTATTTACTAGCTAGATCAGCCTTCAGGAATCCCAGGCCCCAGAGACCAGGAGACAAGGCTAGAACAAAGATGAACCCTTGGTAAAAGAGATCAGGTCTGAGGAAACCTGATAAGTTAAGCAAAAAAGCCATACGGATGTCTTGGGCCCTCAGGGATGCCCACAAGTGCCAAGGGAGCTGGCAGATGTCATTGCAAGGCCACTCTTAATTATTTTTAATCAATCAGGTCAACTGGAAGAATATCCCAAAGGCTGGAAAAAGCAAATTTCACTCCTATCTTCAAAAATAGCAAGGAGGAGGACTCAGAGAATCAGAGTTTTGTCAACCTCACCTCAATCCCTGGGAAGGTGATAGGGGAATTTCCAGGAACATTATGGACCAAAAAAATCATCAGGAGTACTCAGCATGGCTTCAGTAAAGGGAAGTCATGCTTGACCAACTTGATAAACATTTATGAAGAAATAATTGGCCTGGTAGATGAGGAGAGAGCAGTGCATACTGTCCACCTGGACTTCAGTAAAGCCTTTGACACTGTCTCCCATAAGATCCTGTTATAAAACAAGCTGTAGACAAGCTCTTGATATGTGGGCTGGATAAAGAGTCAGTGAGGTGACTTGAAAACTGGTTCAATAGCTAGGCCACCAAACACGGTGATCTGTGGCATAAACTCTAGTTTGCAGCTAGGAATTAGCGGTCTATCTCAGGAATCAATACTAGGTCCAATTCTGTTTAACACCTTCACTAAAAATCTGGATGATAGGCCGGAGTGTACCCTCAGCAAATTTGTAGCTGACATCAAACTGGCTGGCAGAGGGTCATGGAGCCATCCAGAGGGACCTCAACAGGCTGGGAATGGACACACTAAAACCTCATAAAGTTCAAGAAAGCTGTGTGCAAACTCATGCAACTGGGAAGGAGCAAATTCAGGCATCAGTATATGCTGGAGGCCTCCCAGCTGGAGAGAATCACACAATAGTTTAAAGGACCATAACGATCATCAAGTCCAGCTTTTAGCCCTGCACAGAACCATATCCAAGAGTCACACCATGTGCCTGGGAGTATCAGCCAAATGCTTCTTGAACTCTGGCAAGCTTGGTCCTGTGACCACTGCCCTAGGGAGCTTATTCCAGCATCCAATCAACCTCTGAATGAAGAACCTCTGCCTAATATCTACACCTCCCCTGACACAACTTCAGGCCATTCTCTCCGGTCTTGTCACTGGTCCCCACAGAGAAGAGACCTCTCCTCTTTTTCACCTCACGCTGCAATGGGGCCTACCTCAGTTTCCTCTTCTCCAGGCTGAACACACCAAGTGACTCAGCCACTCCTCAGACGGCTTCCCCTCAG